TGTTTGAATTGTAGTTTATTTATTTCAGATATTTATTATTATTCCGCATTGATAGGATTACCTTTTCTTAGAGACTAGGTGCCATCACGACATCCTACGGAGGGAATTTGGAGTCGTGACACTTCCAAACCCAAAGATGTAGCCAAATAGAAGACTAATCTCGGGGTGAAGCTATATTATTAGCTTGTTATTTATAAAATAGAACTCCTTATGAGTTGTGAAAGGATTATCGTCTTAACCTAAAACTTTCGAAAATGTGGGGGACCGGAGTGTCCAGAGTTATATAGCCTGATCTTAAGAAAGCAAAAGGTAGAAAAATTATTTTATTAAAATTATAATGAAGCCTTACAAAATTAAGATTTTTTGTGACAAAAATTTGTATTAGAAGATCAATATGCAAGATCTTGTATTTCTGGCTCTGAAAAGTAATTTTGTATCGGGTCTCTTAGTTATTTGGATGAAAAAATCCTTGAATTATGACATTTTTCCTACAAATTTGAGATATTTCTATAGAAATTATAGTTGCTTCTATAAAAATTTATTTTGGTATTTGAATGTGAAAGATACCAAAAGAAAATAAACTTTAATGTGTTGAAAAACATTTGAAAAGGCATTTGTATAGAAACCAAGTTTCTTTTCATTTGAGATGATTTGAGAAATACTATGAATTAGTATTCTATATGTGAATTTTTCACTGTATTAAAAGGATACAGTGATGATATTGAATCTCTGATTCAGATGAGGAAAACAACTCAGTAGTGATTGTGTGGTCACCTTTTGGTGGGGTGTTGTGGTATTGAAATTACCTGGCATTGAGGCTGATTAAGCAACCTCTTGGCAGGTATTGCACTAGGAATTAAACCGACCATATTTGTATTGATGAATTATGATTGCCAAGGCACAATAGCCATTGTAAGAAAATAAATCTTTCAATGGGAAGAGTAAACACATTCTTTTGAAACATAATGTGATAAAGCAATTGCTTAGAGATGCAAAAAATTTCATATATATTATGTGTAGTCAAAAGAGGATTTGATCAATCCTTTGACTTATAAGTGAAACATCGAGGGGCTTAGTAGGCAAGATTACCTTAAAACATACACTTGTTAGTTAGAAATTAAAGGTTGAGTGAAGGATCAATTAGAGGTGCGTGCAATCTATCCCGAACACTCAAAATTTAAAAAACAAAAGTTATGACTTCTGGCCTTCTGACACTTTGCATGGATTGCTTAATGTGCTAAAATAATGGCCATTCACAGAGTAAATTTCACCGTGGTCATTCAATGTTGAGTCTGTAACACAAAAGTTATTTTTTAATTTTTTATTACATATAAGTCATTCAACTTTAAGTTTGTAACACTTTGTGACATAAAAGTCATCCAACTTTGGCCAAGTTAACTAAAAAGTAAATATCACATAAATTTTATATTTTATACTGGGAATATGACATGACACTTCAAAATAGCTATTTAGCTTAATAAAACATATCAAATGTAATAGATTAATTTTAGAGACATTTCCCATGTTTCTCTTCATAATGTTACTCTCCCTTGTAGTTTATAAAATTTACGTTTATCTCTATATTTAATTTCTTTGTAACGACTCGAAGCCATGGGAAACATATTGAGCTCTAGATTTTGTGTTTGTCATTAAATTATTTGATGCTCTAACAATGACTCTTCTGCTAATTCAAAAAGATACTTTTGTACAATTTATTAAACAAATGAGTATAAATTAATAAGGGCAAAATAGTCAAATCATATTTTTAAAATTAATGATAATGAGTTAACAAAATTATTACAAAGTAATCAAAATTAAAAAAAAGTAAACATAATATTCGTAAACCAGAACTGAGATTAACGAAACTTGGAGAGAGGTTTCTCAAATTATCCCAAATATAATAAACTTATTTTAGAGTGTTATGTCATATTTTCAGTATAAAATATAAAATTTGGGTGATATTTACTTTTTGGTTACCTTGGTCAAAGTTGAATGACTTTTATGTGATCAAAAATAGATAAGTGACTTTATGTTATAAACTCAAAGTTAAATGATTTTTATGTAACAAAAAATAAAAAATGACTTCTGTATTACAAACTCAAAATTGAATGACCACCGATAAAATTTACTCTCATTCGTCACAAGAGTATAAGATCATAAATAGTGCACTATCGGCACGGCTTCTAATTATTGAAAAACTATATGCATTTATAGTGAAACTTATTTTCTGTTTCATTCATAAACATCGAATTCGTATTGCAATTGGTTAGCGTCATAATTAAAATAACCATTATTACCAATTGGAAATTACAGAAAACTAAGGAAATAGATAAAGCAAAAGAAATGAGAATGAGAATTTTATATCATATCTGCCAGCCTTCAAGGATTTGAATGCACCTATGCAATTTTCTCCAAAGTTCTTGCCGTGGCTTTGTAAGAATATGGTTTCTTTGGTATCTAATTACAAGTTTGGTCATAGAACAGATCGTTTCTCTATGAAAGCAAATAAGTGCTACCTGAGACAAGGTTGATAACTTATACTGAGTCACAAAATAGTTACTAGTAATTATATATCAGGGTTTGAAAAGATCCTGAACTATTAAAGGACATTTTTCAATTTCGCTGAATATTTCTTTCTTTAACATTTCAATTCTTGGAATAAGAAGTGCTAATAAAAGAACTTTTACGTTTTTCTTCACTGAACAGTGCAGGAAAGATAAAGAGCAAATAGTAAAATTTGAAAAGAAAAAAAACATATTTGATAGTTGGCCTTGTATCAGGGAAGAGATGGTATTATTGTTAATCTATAACATGTGACCAACAAATGATTAAAGCCCCTTTCTTATAATGTGACATTGTAATTCGAAAATACTTTCAACAAAAATTAGCTGGTAACAGAATTCAAAATTTCCTTCGACGTTTTTCAAGTTCTCTCCAAAATAAAAACACAGAAAAATAATACTTAATGGATTCCAGTACTCTCCAAAACAAAAGCAAAGAAAAATAGTAGTAATTGGATTCTTACAAAGCTGCGCAAGATTTTCCTTCTCTGTTTTTTCTTTCTTTTTTAAACATTTATTATTCTCTTTAATAGGTAATGAATTAATCAGCGATGTTCTAAAAATGGGGGATTCTTCCGGAAAAACCACATAGGCTAGCCAGATTACTAGTTACTAGTATTAAAATACTACTACATACTTGTAATTATTGTGATCTACTCAGACATTAGGCAAATGACTTTAAAAAACACGAGTTAGTTCTGTATAAGTCATTGAATGCTTATTATTATTTCCTACTCACGTTCAGACTTCAGGCTCCTCTCATGAACATCAAAATCTCACAAATCACTTTCTTGCTGTCTCCCATGCTATTTCTCTCTTTACTCAGGCCATTTGCTTCTTCTGGATTGTCATATTTTATGCTGCTTTTTCTAACAAATTTTACATAACTAAACAAGCAAAATCCACATGCAAAAACCAACATTCTTCTTTCCTTCTAATAGAATCATCAATGAAGTGTCTTCTTAACTAAACATGTGACGTGTTTTTATGTGAGAATAAGGGAGAATAAAAAGGGGGCTTTGCAAGTTGGTTTCTGGAGCATTTCTTGAACAAGGAGTGCCATTCTCGTGTGTGCCACTTCTAGTATTTCTTTGTCCATCCGTACAAGTGACATAATAGTATAAATAAGCACGTATCGCAAACAGACTCCAACCAAAACCAGTTGTCTCTAACAGCTTTTGAATCTAAAGGTTTGGAGCCTGTTCTCTATTGTAAGTAACTGCCATATGCAGAAAGTTTTAGTATTCTTTCAAAACTAGTTTTCCTTCATTCCATTCCCCTATTTTGATCCAACGATGATATGCTTCCCCTCTTTGGAGCTGGTTATTTTCTTAAGTGTATCGAGTACCCTCTGAAATGTCCAGACTCTCGCTTTCCTTGACTCAAATATCATGAGACAGAGCAGGGGCTAGATTGGAATCCAATCTTATCGTTGTTTTTCATTTACAATTCCATCTTATTTTTCCCATGGAAATCACTATTTGATCATCTCTATCTTCTATAACTTCTTATTAATTTTCTGTAATGCTGTGCGACCTGTGTTTAAACTTATGCCATGCATATATAGATAAGAGAAGAAGTTTACTATTTCATCATCTGCTCTTTTTTACATACTATGTTAGGCTATGTTTTCCAAATATATCTTGCAAACACCTTCATAATTCTTGATGGTTCTTCCGTTTCAGGCCAACTCAAGCATTTGATTTATGGAGAAACAGAATTTAGACCTGTACTGGCAGAATATTCAGATTATGCGGGAGAATGACAGGCTAAGGAAGACTGCTCAACGGCTGAGACAGGAGAACCAGGCTTTGTATACTGAGCTAAAACAGAGACTAGCAGCAGCAAGAATTAATCAAATACCTGAACTTGAACTTACCCTTGGCCCCAGTCCTGCTGCAGACCAAATGAAAGCAAAGAAACCTCAGCCACCTCCATGCAGCTGAAGCAATGCTTGTTTCTGGTCTCGGTCCAAGCTCAAGGTTATTGGAGGTTTTAAATATGAGTGCTGCTTGTGTTGTCGCAATTAGAGACTTCTGTTGTTTGAAACAAAAAAGTTCATAGGAATAAGCACTGAGAAATAAAGTATCAACATATCTATATTACTTGATGAGAATCGATTTGCAGTTCTGTTGTGATACTTTACTGATGCCTGGTCAGTTTCTTTATCCGGTTCTAACTTTACTAAGTTTCATAAAAGGCATAGTTTATAGCTGTTTGTAATCTAAAATGATCTTTCATCCTCTAATATGCACTTGTTTTATGGTATGCAAATAATAGTAATAGGAAGAATTACCAACAGAAGCTGTCGCGAAGAAGGATATAAGCCAAAATTAAGATGAGTGATTTGAGACCAGGCACTGGAAATTCGTCACATATAGATAGCATGAAACAGACAATATTTATCAATACTATGTAAAGTTGCAATGCGAAGAATAAGAGAATGAAAATAGAAACAAAAGAAAGAAAAAGAAAAAGATGGGCAGTGGTAATGCTAGGGAAACACCCTAGAATACTAATGTCATGGCATCACCTCAGGTCTGTATGTTTACCTATTGCCGTTAGTTTATGAATTAGTTCATTCCTAAATTCTTTTCTTTATATTGTTATAGTTAATGATGAAGCAACACTTATAGTTTCATGCGTTCTTTTTAACTTGGAAATGAACTAGTAAAATAAATAAGCAATGACACGCATGTATTATTTTCTGACCCTTAATTACTTCATAGTTTTCAATGATCAATTATCCCTTTTCTATTAAGATTTCTCTGGAGAAAACATAAATTAAGTACTTTGATATAAACATAGAGAATACAAACAATATGAGTTCTTTCAAAAGCCACTTGGCAATACCATTTAAAATCAATAGTGAACTAACCAACATAAGGTACATTTTTCTAACAGCATATGAAACTACAGGGTACCTCAGATTATTTTTACAGTTAGATATGACCCTTTAATTAAGACAATCTAGCGAGAGGGCAGTGTAGTTTAACACGTTTGTGCATCCAAAAGCTGTGGAATCCAATGCAAAAGCACTTTAAGTTCACAGTTACAACTCCAAAAGCATGGATGAAACATATTGCTAATACTCCAAGAAGTTCATCCTTTAGCATGCTCCAATACTACTCATTGAAACTAACATATACAACAAGAAGCTTTCTGGATAGATACATAGGTTATTTATAGATTCTATTAAAGAGCATACCTACTTTCGCACATAAATAAGAGAGATGTTTTACAAAGTAGGAAAAGAACTCTTTGTTTATATATCGAAGACGAAATATTTATAGAAGAAAAAAAAGATACTAAGAAAAAGAGCAATGAGTAGATGTATAAATAACTTGTTTCCCTGAGAACTCTTTTCTTCTAGATTATTACCTAATTAACTTATTTATTATCATCGTAAATCTGGCAGATGTATAATCATGTCAAAGGATTATTTTCTAGGTTTCAGAACAAATACAATCAACAAAACCTTACTCATAAAACAATAAATAGAGAACAGTATATGTTTGATGACAGATTCAGAAGATAGTATGATATGAAGAACTGCTTCTAATTGTATAAACAGTTTAATATATCGACCCACATAGCATCAGGTGAAACAGAATGTTGTACCATACCCAGCAAGGCCATGACAGGTAGTAAATGTACGTGGCTGTAACACTTCTCTATGCAAGATAATAGGATAGACACTTGCTGCATCATATGCATTTAGAACGTAGAAAAGGATGCTGGCAATGAAGCCTTTCTTGATTAATAGGCCTGACATATGATGTTCCATCTGAGCAGGCAGTGGTAAATCCAAGAAAAGGAAAACTACGTACCCACAGCATTTTTATCATTCAAATAACGACAACAGAAAGAAAGTTCTGCATTTCGACTGCACCCACTAGTCTAGAGAGCCTGTATGTTTGAAGATCAACTTGACTTCATTTATACAAGGCTATTAGAGTATTAGTAAGCATAAGAACGAGATGCCTATTACTCCAAAAAAGCAAATAAATTTCGTTTTTGCAGTTATATTGACATATAGAATCTGCATAATTAAACATAACATAAGGTAGTAGAAAGAATTCAGAAAATTCGAGAGATGTGAAAAATGAAAATAGTACGGCAGACAGACTGTTGAGATGACATGGAGCAAAACATGCTATTCGTAACTTTACAAGCAATTAATGTGGATAGATAAGCTACAGGCTAATTTTCCTCATCAATTAGCACTGTAAAATATAGGCTAGTTGTATGAAAGATCTTTTCAGAAAGAAGTCCGGAAACAGGGTGATGTATCCAGCAAATAAACTATTTCAGAATTTGCTCAGTCTATTGGAAGAGGTCTGAGTATCGGCAGCTCCTGCAGTACCACTTTCAGTAAGGAAAACAGTGTAAGGAAGTATCCACTGACAAACCTTTTATGTTGCTAATGAACACATCCAAACACTAATATAAGCAGGAATAAGAGTTAATTCAGATTACTCTTTTTGCACCAGGTAGCAGTTGAAATACTTTACTCTCACTATTACTGCCATATATAGCTTGTGACGCCTCTTGTGAAGATCTTTTGTCGTTAAGCAGCTCATAAAGAGTAAAGTAAATAAGGATCCAAGAGAGTGTTTCCTTGTCCATATTCTCGTGCACGTGAAAGGAGGAACAGAAAGTGATTTCAATGGACCATTCACGCCCATCAAAAGCAATATGCCCTGCTAAGCTACTGAATGCTTTGCTTAGATAGGTGATACAATATCTAACACGGAAGACGATATTAGACAGGCCCTATTTCAAGCAAAATGTCTAGAACCAAATAATAAAAGTCCTTAAGAAACATTTATGCTTGGAGGAATGCATTTTGTATAAAGAGGCATTTTATAGCCAAGCGTAATGTTAGTTATATATCTCATGAATATTCCCAAAAAAGCATGTGCAACTACATTTCTTCTTTTTTTAAAATTTTAATAATGACAAAAGCATTTGAATGTAATGCACTAGATATTGCAAGAGAAACATGATAAATGAGATTTAGCATATAAAATTGAACTAGGATGGCTGAAATGGAAGGAGTACCTACAATAGTGCTGCAAAATAGGAAGATGGCCTTCCTCAAATCAGTTTATATCTCCATAGCACCTCTCTCTACCTAAAGACTTTTTCAATGTATCATATACTCCTTATCCACTGGATCCTCAAGGAAAACTTTTGGGCCCATTAAGACCATTCGATTGTAATTCACCCGCACTTGATGAACTTAATATCACGTAATAACTGGGCTTTTGAATTCATGAATTTTCAATCACTAAGCCAAAATCTAGGGATTCCAATCGAACCTTCATATATATATATGAATTTAAAAAAGAAAAAGAGTGAATGCTAATGAGAGTCAAATCACTGAAGCATCTTAAAGAGAGTCAAGTTCTTCAGATAGCAATACAGAATCATTGCCAGGCAATAGGAATTCATGACTATGCCCCCTCATGACTAATATTTGTTATTTCCACCTAATTTATGATTTAGGAATCTCCCCTCAACAAATATCACTGTATTTAATGCGATGTTCTTTTTGTACTTCCAATATTCTACTACCAAAGTTACCATACACCTTGTTCGGTTCTTCCTTTGTTTTATTTTATATGACACAGATACTATTTGGGAATCAAGCAACTCTTCCAGTTCCTTTGACTACAAACTATTCAAATTTTATATTAAGTATTTTGAATTACACAATAATATGTGACTTATAGTACTATTTATGTAGTTTCTACATATGTGAAACTAAGTTTTAATTCAATAAATTAAAGAATTCATATCTAAATTAAAATAAAAACCGGATACTCTCACCCTAGCATTTCGAAATTTAATACTCCCTTCGTTCCAACTTTTATGAAAGTTTTTCCATTTTAGGATGTCCAAAACATCCGACGTCATTCCATATCTATACAACTTTCAAGCTTTCAAATATACTACTCCCTCTTTTTTAATTTATCTGAACCTATTTACTTTTTAGTCAATGACTCATTTCCTTATTTGAAAACAATTTAGCTTTATGCAATGATTTATAGTCACACAAAATTAAAAGTCTTCTTTCTTTTCTTAAACTCTGTGCCCAGTCAAATAGGTTCACATAAATTAAAACGGAGAGAGTATTAAATTAAACTATTCATCTTTTCAACTTTGATAGGATGTTTTCTCCATCAAACTATCTTTTCAACCATTACTTCAATATTGTTCTTCCACAATCACTAATACAATATATAAAAGTTAATCAGTTCTTTAAACTCTGTGCCCAATCAACTATCCTATAAAATAAAATGGAGGGAGCATTATAAATTGGAAAGGAGGGAGTAGGATTTGTGACATACTCCAAATGAAGAATGTTGAAAAGGTTTCAGGTTTGAAGAGAAAGCAACTATGCATCCCTTAATTACATAATACAATACCAACTCAAAAGTAGAAACATTACCGTAAGATTGTCAGCAAGAAGCAAACGAGTGGAGTAACGGAGACTAACGGCGGTGGGTTAAAAATCGCTTGAACCTGTGAGATCCAAATAAGCTCACTTGTTTTTGTACTGATTTCAGTTATATATAGAAGAGTTTGGTAAACACATTGAAAGGGGAATATGAAGTTTTGAAAAGAAGAATCAGTGTTTGGTTTCTTACTAAATTCCTTAATGGGAAAAAGTGCTCATGAAACATTGGTAATTGTTGATGTAGTGATGTTTGTTCCCCTTTAATAGCACTTCTTGTTATATTCAGGAGTAGTAAAAAAATCTCAAATTATCTTTAAAGGATTTGCAAAAAAAAAAAACAAAAAACATTCTTCAAATATTTGCAAGATTTGATTGTTTTTCAACTTGCAAAATTTTACATTATTATCTCCTTCGGCTCGATCCTATTGGACTATCTGAAAGTATTTGGGTCTCACATTTTTGTCCCCTTAGGTGCCTTAACAATTTAATCTTGAACTCACACCCTAATATGACTTCTATTCTCCCTTAGCATTGTGATGTGGTATTTGCCTAAAGTAAGTTTAAAAGCAAACCCCCTTTCTAGTGCAGCCCTTTTAAAAGCAAACCCTCTTTCGAGTGCAGTCCTTTGATTTATATCGAGGTTTGTACGTGTTTACCCGAAAAATCGAATATAGTTGAATTTATAATTAGTTCTAAGGATATGTGATATAACCTGATATAAATCACACGTAGAGGTAAAAATGTTTAGATTCTTGGCTATAGAAATGAGATATAAATTATTGAATTAGGAGAGTGAATATGTTGAGTAAAACTAGCTTAAGACATTTATTCTTTAATAAATAGAAGTTGTCTTTTCTTACAATGTGTCCACCTTCTTATGCTTACAAGGATCTCATTTATAGTACAGAGATCTTACTTTATTTATAATAAAAAAATATATAGTTGAGAACCCATGATAAATTGTCTTTTCCTCGATTCCTGCCAAGATTCACTCCCCTAGTACGGTTGCAACGGCTCCTATCTGCGAGCTCGATACTGGCTCGAGCTCGGTATTGGATTGAGCCCTCGACCTTGAGTTCGAGTTCGACATTCGGGGTGAGTGTCAATCGGTCTGTGCATCTCCGACAACCTTCTCTTTGCCTTGCGGTTCGATTTGGTCATGGGCTTGGTAATGATATCGAGCCGATTTCTCGATCGGTCTTGGAGCTCGAAGCTTATATGTACTATCCTCGAAACTCGTCTCGAGCTCTCACTCCGATCGCTTACTATTCGAACTCGATCAAACGTACGGAAGCCGAAATCTATTTCGACCGTATACAACAACGTTTTTAAAATTGTGGCTAAAATTAAAATACAAGTCACAAAAGTGATTCGAAGATGATAAAACATTGTGTATGATCATCTGACCAATTAACTATTGGAAAATGTCCCATCTACAAGCTAATTTTTTTTCTTTTCTCCACTCTACATTTATACTCAGTAGTCACGCTTTGCCACATCAATTGCCAAGTGAATCAAAGGTATCAACAGTCAAATTTAGGTTTTAAGACAAATGATATACTCTTTCTGTTTTAATGTTTTTTAACCTTTTTGGAGTACGATGGTTAAATTTGATAATGATAAGCAAGATCAAGAAGGTCAAGAAGTTGGGTAAGGATTGAGACTCAACAGCCATGTGTATTTTATTCTCCTTCATCCACTAGTTGTAAGTATAATTCATATGCTATATATTATAATATCAACCGAAGCACATTGTAGCAATTCACAATAATATTGTCTGCTCTTATATGGTATCAAGAGCATGTCTATGCTTTCACATGCTAAGATCCTGCCTTCATTTAATAATGGGTGACCTCTCATCAAAGTCATCCTCTACCACATCCAGAAATTCAGATACATTGAAGCCTTCCATCATCTTTGGACACGACAACATAGTACAATAACTTATATCTTTCAATCCAACTTCCCAACTATCATTCAAGTTAACAGGTTACTCTGCTTGGCAGACGCAGGTCACCACTCTACTATTTAGCTACGACCTACTTTGCTATGTTGATGTACAATAGTCATCCCGCTAAAGCATTTGGTTACTGATTCTGGTTGTAAGTCTCACAACCCTTCCTTCAAATTATGGCAGAGACGATAGTTTCATTAGGAATACTATTATGGCTTCCGTGGATGCTACCATTGCTCCTTTTATAGCACATGCATCATATGCTAAGCATGCTTGGGATATTATTCAAACTACTTATGCGTGAAATACTATCCAATCTCAAGCGAGAGTCTTGCCCTGTCAGTGACTATATGAGAGAAATAAAGTCCATTAATTATGATTTAGCCATAAGTGGCTCACCACTATCAAATGAAGAGTTGATCATCAAAACTTTAAGTGGTCTTGGACCAGAATACAAGGAGATATCTGCTGCTATCGGGGCTCGAGATAATCCCATTGTGAGCACTTAATTTTTGACCATACTTGAATTTTTATCACGTTTTAGTATGTAAATATTTTTCGATTTTAATCTATATATTTTTTAGCCTTTGTTTTATTTTACTTTTTAGTAGGTTTAGTTGACAAAATTGAAAACCACAAAAATATTTTATATTTTAGCTAATTGAGTAGTAGTTAGATTTTTTAAATAAATTTCTTTCTTTTAATGTTCCATTAGTTTAGATAATTATCAATTTTGTTTCATCTTCAAAAGAATAGAATTGAAAACAAACAAAAAAAAAGGAGAAGAAGAAAACAGAAAGAAAAACGGGAAAGAGCAAAAAAAAAGTAAAAGAGGAGAGAAAAGAAGATTCAAAATTTTATTCTTCTCTATCACAAAATTTTCCTCTAGTGGGACCACAGACACACACAACTCACACCCACCCGTCTCCTTCCAACTCAATTTTCTCTCCCTCATCTCTCTTGTAAAACAGAACACAAAAGAAAAAGGAGAAGATCAGCCAAGAAACCCCATTGAAACCAGCTAAAAAACACATCAAAACTCAGCCACTAAACAGTCCCAAAATCACTCCGAAAACAGCCTGAAATCACCCCCTAAAACAGTTCAAAAAGCATCAAAAACAGCCCTAAAAATGAGCTGAAAACCTCCACCAAACAGCTCCGAAAACAGTCTCGAAACACCCCAGAAATAGTCTTGTCTCCGTTGTAATTAAACCATCTCCAACCAGCTCCTTTTCCTCTAACAAACAGCTACAAAACCGTCTTGAAACCAGTCCCAAACCCAACCAGAAACGATCCTCATTTCTGTTTTCAAAACGACACCACAGGTTCCTAAAAAATGACACGAAGACGTACATGTCGCAACTGAGGTTCCTTCGGCTTCCGTCGCTCGTGGTTTGCTATTAAGGTACAATGAAAGCGTTGTTGTTGTGCTCATTTTCAACTGCTGTAGATCTCATTTAGCGAATAAACATTGGAGGTCTACTTTCTATTTTTGTTTTGCGTTGGAGATATAAAAATTTATGTTTCGTTCATATTATTTTTTTTAGACAAACTTTGAATGCATCTTGATTTTGCTTGAGTGCATTGACTGTTGGATACTTTGTTATTCTTCATTTCTTTGCCTACTGTGTTAGCATTGAACTTGCTTCAATAGTTTCCTTTTTGCTTAAGAGTTTTATTGGTAGTTTGGACCTGAGTTTAATTAATAATGGGCTGGATTACAAAATGAACTATTAACTAAGATATTTGGGCCATGGGGTGGTAAGAACTTGGTTATTTAGAGTTTAAATGGGGCATAGATATATGTAAGAACCGTGTGGTATAAGACTTGAGCCATGTGAAAATAAACTGAAGAGAATGTCAATTTTGTTAGATCAAACGACTTAGTAATAGATGTAAAAAATTATTTTGATAACTCCACATCCATAAACTATTGTCCTTACAATAATCGCTAGTTTAGAAAATAATTCTTATAAACACTCGTATTTGCTTTTAGGCACGTTAATAATAAAATATTGTGACTATGGGTACGATTCCCGTGACATAGTCATGATACATAATCTTCAATTCGAGTGCAGGTTTCATGCGACGTGACCATAACTTCAAATAATAATAATAATAAATAAACATGTTGCAAATCGCGGGTGCGTTTCACGTGGCGCGATTCACAATGTGTACAAAAACAATGAGTGTGCGACATCTCGACTTGTTCAGATAATTCCATATTTTTAATAAATAAAAGCGGACATAGGTAAAACATGAAAATCAATAAAACACAGTTTATCCAAAATAATATAAGCCAAATATTGTCAATAAAGTGACCGTGCTAGAACCACGGGACTCGAGGAATGTCTTACACCTTCTCCTCGGTCAACAGAATTCCTTATCCGGATTTTATTTTCGCAGACTAATAATAAAAGAGTCAAACATTCCTTTGACTAGGGATTCAAATAAAATATGACTTGGAACACCGAAAAAATCAATTTCAAGTGACGACTCTGTAAATAAAATAATCTTTATTCAAATTTGTCGCTTCAATTGGAAAAACTCTTTAACCCACAATCTATAACATAACACATAATATCTTTTTGGGGGTAATATCAAGAATTATATATGATAAGTGGCTTGCTCATGAAATATTTCTAGAACACTCTGAATATAAATCTAAAGCTCCATTAATTATCACACGTCAATTTACTCAACGAGGCAATTTTAATTATTCCAAGGGCAAAACATCAAATACTCAAAACCGTGGTGGTCACTCTTTAAATTCTTCTGCGAACTATCGAACCCAGCCTGCATGGCAACAATTTCAACAACAGGCCAACAAACAATTGCACCACTCAACAAAACAAAGTTCAGTGTCAATTATGTGATAAATTTGGACACATTGCAAATGTGTGTCGTTCAAAAGCTCACAATCCCTTTGAGGCACATGCAAACTTTATCAGTCGATCCTACTATGGCATCAACACAGCAGGTTCTTGGGTAGTAGACTCGGGAGCATCTCACCATATCACAGATAGTCCATATAATCTACAATACGCATTTGAATTCTCAAGCAATGAAGAGATTATAATTGGTGATGGTAATGGCATTTCAATCACTCACATTGCAGTACTACTCTTTCCTCTCCTTCTAATATTACTCCCCTATAATTGAACAATGTTCCCCTAATATTAAAAGAAAGTTAATTTCTGTTGCTCAGTTTTATCGACAAAATCTTACATTTATTGAATTTTCCCCCTACTCTTTTCATGTGAAGGATTTGACAGCAGGGGCATACCCACTTCAAGGTCAGAGTAAAAGGATATATTCACGAGTGGCCAATGAATAAATTAGGCTCTACGTCATCAACCCTG